ACCCAGTGGTATTATGAAAGACAAATGACCCATTTCTTACTTTGATGTGATTAATGCTTGAAAGGTGGGTCCAGATCCCAAGAGGAAGAGACTGGGGGACAGCCTGGTCTACATAGTGAGTCTCCAGCCCAGCCAAGGCTACATAGGGATTCTCTGTCTCAAAAAACAAACAACAAAAGCACCAAAATTCACAAACAAAATTGTGAATCCATCCTTTCAAGGGAGGAATGAAGAAGCTTCAGGGAGGGAATGATCACAGAGAGAGAGAGAGAGAGAGAGAGAGAGAGAGAGAGAGAGAGAAGAGAGAGGCTCCTCTGGAATTCCCTGAAGTCTTTGGGTCATACCCACAGCCCCAAGGCCTCCTCTGTCTGGCCCCCATCCCCAGCCTTGAGCGCTCTTCTGACAGATCGCCCTTTTCCCAACCGTACCTCCTCAGTCGTGTTGTTCAGCTAGACTCATCACCTCCTCACACAAAAGTGGAACGAAAGAGCCGCCGCAGAACCTATTCACACAAATTTTTTGGCGCAACAAGCCCCGGGATTCACACTGATCCGACGGGGCGGGAAAGACCTCGAACAACAAGCACCTCAGTCGCGTTAGTAGCTAGATTGAGCCAGGACCACGTGCCCCTCCAGCCCGGCCCCGCCCACCTCCAGGCCCCGCCCACGGCGACCAGCAGTAAGCCCGGCAACTGGCGCGACAGGGCGACCGCGGGAACGCAGGCGTGTCCGGGAAAGCGCTGTGCGCATGCTCCTAGAGAAGCAGGTCCGGTGAGGGGCCGCACCCAGGCCCCGGGAGGCGGAAGTGTAAGGGCCAGGGGTCCTGCCTTCTAGTCCCCAAATTGGAGCGCAAGATGCGGGCGGAGGGAGAGCTGGAGTTGCGGGGGAAGCTTCCTCCGGGATCCGGGCCTGGGTGCGGCTGACGCGCCGATGTCTGTGTGTGTGCCCAGGGAAACATGGAGTACAGTCTGGCGACCGCGGCGCTAACCGGGGTGGACCGGCGCTCGCTGCAGCGATCGGCTCGACTGGGGAGGGAAGTGCTGGAGCGCGCCAAGAGAAGGGCAGTGAACTGGCATTCTCCAGAGCGATCCAAAGGCAGCGTGGGGGTCCTGTACCGCCAGGGCCCCTACCAGGAACGATGGTCGGTCCCCGGTCCCCAGCGCCCCCTAGGAGAGGTGAGGGCGCGAGCTGGGGGACTGACTACCCAGTCATTCTCGGCCTTCCACTGGGCCGGTGGGAACCTCCCAAGGCCAAAAGATGCAAAATATCTGGACAAAGAGCAGAAAAGTCCTTTTGACACCTTTTAATATTTTATACAGTCTTAGGTAGCCCAGGCTGGCCTTGAACTCCTGCCTACGCCTCAAGTACTAGTTTTAAAGGGATTGTGCACTGGCACAGTGTGACCGAGTCTTTATTAGTAACAAAAGAATCGTGGTATTGTTACTTTTAAAATATAGTTTCTTGCGGAGTGTGGTGGTGCACGTCTTTAATCTTAGCACCCAGGACTCAGAAGTAGACAAATCTCTGAGTTCGAGGTTAGCCTGGTCTACATAACAAGTTTCCGGCCAGCTAGGTTTACATATTGAGATGCCATAGTGTGGTGCCAGAACTTGGGAGATCTGGGCAGAAGGATCAGTCTAGAGCACATGTGACCCTGTCTCAAAAACCCTAACCAACAATAACAGTTTCTTTTTTCTGCTACTTGATAGTAAGTAAAGCCAGCTAACCTATTATTTTAGTTACTGGATAAATTGCATTAGTTTACTGAGTTAGAACTCTTTCTCAGCAAGATCCTTCTTCCCAATTTCAGCTTGCAGAAGCTTTCCTGAAAAATGAAAAAGGCGATTTCTCAAATGATGTCCTTTCCTGTAGGGAATTGTAGGTTTCACCTATGACTTGCCATTTATTCAAATAGAGAGAAGAAAGGCGCCCGACTCTTAGTGCTTCCTTCAGAACAATAGCTGAATTCATGGACTATACTTCAAGTCAGTGTGGGGTAAGTTGGTGTGAGTTCACACTGTGCTCCTGATCTGTGCTTGGGAAGACTCAGAGTTCCTCTGTCCTGGACCTACAAACCTTAATGAGCAGGTTCATATAAGTCAGGTGGTAAATACAAGTTAGAATTCATCCAACAAATATTTATTCATCCTAACTCTAGTTGTTGAAGATACATCAGTAAACAAACCAGAAAAGGTCTTTGCCCTCATTGAGTTCTCAGTGGTAGAGAGGACGAGTGTGGTGTTTATTTCCTGAATTCTGCAATTAAGTCTAATTTGAGAATGTTTGCTTTTCCCTTTGAAATTAAATTAAAATCTTCAGGATCACTCCTAACTAGTTTTGCTTTCAAAATGTGCTGAATCAAAAATTTCATGAAAGCCCATATGTTAGGTCTCTTTTGTATTTGTTTTGTTTTTCAAGACAGGGTTTCTCTGTAAAACAGCCCAGGCTGTCCGGGAACTCACTCTGTGGACCAGGCTGGCCTCGAACTCACAGAGATCCACCTGTCTCTGCCTCTCCAGTGCTGGGATTAAAGGTGTGTCCCGGGGGCTGGAAAGATGGCTCAGAATTTAAGATCACTGGCTGCTCTTCCAGAGGTCATGAGTTCAATTCCCAGCAACCACATGGTGGCTCACAACCATGTGTAATGAGATCTGGTGCCTTCTTCCCTCTTCTGACGGGCAGGCAAATGTACAAGTAGAACATTGTATACATAATAAATTTTAAAAAAGGGTGTGTACCACTACTACCCAGCTTGTATGTTGTCTTAACCTTCAAAGTTTGTTTCCAGTTCATGGTGAATGTCCCAGTGGGTTCATAAACAGGTGTTGGTGACAGAGATGACCATATGAAACAGGTGCAGGTGTGCTGTTTTTAATGGCAAGACCTGTCTCCCAAAGATCAAACCATGGTCTGTAATTTTCAGTTAGCCAGTTGGTCACTTTTTTTTTTTTTTTTTTTTTTTTTTTTTTTTTTTTTTTTTGGTTTTTCGAGACAGGGTTTCTCTGTGTAGCTTTGGAGCCTATCCTGGCACTCGCTCTGGAGACCAGGCTGGCCTCGAACTCACAGAGATCCACCTGCCTCTGCCTCCCGAGTGCTAGAATTAAAGGAGCCAGTTGGTCACTCTTAAGCCTAACCTAAGGCATGTGACCAGAGCAATGAGAAGTTGGGACACTTCTGGACATGAAGCACTCCTCATTGTGTTCTTTAGCTTCTCATGGTAAAGTTTAGATTTCTGAAGTCCCAAATTTTATTGTTTACTTCTTTGATTTCCACTGAGGGATGAATAGCAAATTATCAAAATACTATGCAAGATTTATTCATTGACATGAGTACACAGATTTTAAGTTCTGAAACCCATACACTAAGTTTGAGGGGATGGATGTTAAAGGCAGACAAACCAACACTGAAGGAAATTTTCTCAGAATCACACCAGGCTTTACATGTGAGTGGCCTGGATTTAAGGATACTGGTGTATAAGTGAGATGGAAAGGAATTGATTTTGCTATGCTTCCCAGATCCAGATGTAAAGGTCCCCAAACTGCCAGGCTGACCTCAGACTTGCTACTAACATAGTTTTGAACTCTCTTCTCCTTGCTTCCACTTTCTGAGTGCAGGGATTATAGATATTCACTGTCATACCCAACTTCTATCTTTTACAAACATTCTTTAAATTACAATGGGATTTCAACCAGTGAGATAAAGTTCAGAGAACATTTTTAATGTTCTTAATTGTCCTAAGGTGGCTATAGAACAATGTATGACCTCAGCTCTACTTAGACAGTTGGTTCGTGGTTCAGTCAAATAATAGTTGTCTTTGATCTTTAGCAAACTGGTGTTCTTCGTGTAGGTTTTCAGCAATGTTCTATTTCAATCCTATTACAGAATGGCACTTCAGAACTTCTTGGCATTTTGAAGATTTAGAAAAGTGTTCTGGGTTTGGCTCCACAATTTTAAAGCGGCCCTTAAAATGTCATAGGTCCATGTCCCAAGTTCTCTCCCCAGCTTCTCATTCCTCTCACCACATTCCTTTGACACTGTCCCTACAGTATTTTCCAAACAAGCTTGTGATGCTTTCATTACTCATAGTCAAGGGCAAGTCTAAGGTTAGCTTGGAGGAGGCAGAAGGAACTAAACAAGAAGAATGTAATTTTTCTGATCTTTTGGATTATTCCTAAACTAGAGATGCCTCTCTTTCCATTACCCTGTGGGGGACCCTGGGCCAAAAGGCTGCATGGTTTTTAGGTTTATGTTTTATAGCCTTCTGTGTTTCTTCCACTTAAGGAAATTACTCCATTCTTTCTTCATCCTTGTCTGAGTACCTGGAAGTAAACACAGAATTGTTGATCTGATTCTGCCAGGGGAGGAAATGAAAGGGTGAATGTACTTGACATCGAAGCAAAGATGTGAAAACCTTTACCCTAGCAGAGAACATGATCCTGCCTACCTTTATTTAGTTGGTAGAGTTCTCGTTCTACAGAGGCAGCAGGTGGCAGCAAAACCATGCCAAATGCAATTTCCTTGTCCTAGCATCTCAGGCTGAGGCCTGTGGAAAGGACAGTTAATTTACTGTTTCTCTCATGCTTCCTTCAGTAACCTTACTGTGCACAAGTGTCAGAGGGTCTTTCTGAAAATTTGGCTATAATATTTAAATTTTCTTTCACATTATTTCTCTAGAAATACTATTCATCTATGCCAGAGGAAGGCGGGGCAACCCACGTCTACCGTTACCACAGAAGGAAGCCTCCAGAAATGCCCATGTACTCAGACATAGGGCATGGTCAAGAACAGGTATGTGTCTGTTGTTCCATGCAATGCCTGTAGCCTCTCAAGATTGAGACTAAATCACTGTGGGATTTTTGTGACATCAGATACATGTGTAACTCAGCATTCCAGTGCTCAGCAGACATGTGTCACTTCATAGCCTCCAAGAACTTACAGAAATAGGAATTTGTCTAAAACTTAAGATTATTTATATCACTCTAGGATCTTCAGTTGAACTGTAAACCTGGGCTGTGGGGCTCTTGGGCAGGCTTAAGAACCACATATTCCCATATACATCTAGGAATACAAAAGAGTGTATTGTCTTATTCAGGTATGGTGGCATAGGTCTTTAATCCTACCACTTGAGAGGCAGAGGCAGGTGGCTCTCTTGAGTTTAAGGTGATCTGGTCTATACAGAAAACTTCAGGACAGCCAGAGCTATATTGACTGTCTCAACACCCACACAAAAGACTTTATTTTAACTACACATGTGTGTCTGTGTATGTGCACATGGGGTGTTGGGTTCACTGGAGCTGAAGTTAACAAGTGGTTGTGAGCCACCTAGTGTAAGTACTGGGAACTAAACATGGGTGCTCTGCCCTTAGCCACTGAACTCTTTCCAGTCCCCAGAAAAGAGATTTTAGTAGTTATATCTTACTGAGATAGTGATACTGCCATGTCTGATAATTTTTGTAAAGGAAATGTGGGGAGTGGGGGAGGTTGTCTCATTAAATATTTTTCAGACAGGGTCTTGCTGTGTTGCCTACTCTGACCTTGAACTGGTCTCAAGTGATCCTTCTTCCTCAGCCTCTAGTGTAGCTGACACTGCCTTGGTTTTTATAAAGATAACAACTAGTGCCCCTCATCACACACTCTGTTTTGTTTGTTTGGTTGGTTGGATTTGGACTTTTTTGTTTATCAAGACAGGGTTTCTCTGTAAAGCCTTGAATGTCCTGGAACTCACTCTTTAGACCAGGCTGGCCTTGAACTCACAGAGATCTCCCTGCCTCTGCCTCCTGAGTGATGGAATCAGAGGTGTGTGTCACCACAGTCCAGCTCACATGCTGTCTTTTAACAGAAGTAGGCTTTTTGGCTTTGATTCTTGTTGGACTCCTTTAATTACACTCAAAGATAGCAAACTTAAGTCCAGATTCAAATCCCTGTCTCCTCTAGTTCTGAGTCATCCTAGGGCAGTAGAGTGAATGGGGCTTAGCAAAAATGACAGGAGTGAGTGAGCATGGGGATATGCGTGGGCTCAGTACAGACTGCAAGAGCCCTTGAGTTCCTCTCTGGGATGTGAAGAGTCACTAGAGTCTGTGTCCTGAAATCCCCTTTCCACCCTGGCCTGATCTCTACTAAGAGAGCTTAAGTGAGGAATATATGTGGCAAAGCGACGTTCCTCTTTCCTGTGGTGTACAAAAGAAAGGCGCCTCTAAGGCTTTATCCATGTTCCATACTAATACCATTCCTAAGTGAAGCAGAGAACAAAACTGTGTTAATGAAAGTCTGTTGGGTATCATGACTTTAGCATTTCAATCTTCCCTTCCATCCAGGAGCCCTGGATGTTACAGTCCAGGAGACCAAGTTTCTGAATTAAGTGAATCCTGCTAGTGAGTAACAGGACATGGGATTTAACTCAAGTTTTTCAGACTCCAAAGCTCACATAAGGAAAAAAGGAACAATGGAAAACACATGACTAAAAATAGCTCTGAATATACTGAACAGATTGCTAATAACAGGTGACGAATGAGAAAAGGCATAGGAAATAATCCTAGTAAGATAAGAGAAAATGTCTTTGTTTTCAGAAGGTCAAAGCTCAGGTCCTAATCCATATTTATCTTGACAGAGAAACAGCAGAGGAGAGGCATCTGTTGATTCAGGAAGCATCTACCAAACATCAGAGCATTCTCAAGAGGCATCCTGGCCTGTGAGTACAGAGCTCCATATGTGCTGGCCTTCACTACCCTTCTATAAGCCGGCTGGTCTGTTACCAATTGGCTTCCATTTGTATGGACTCTACGGTCTCTTCAAATTGAGAGGTTTACACTTGAGGGTCGGTGCAAAATGCTGTTTCCTTAGTGTCCTTTTCCTTCACTGGAGGCTTGGGGAATGTTCTGTGTGCCTCAGCTCATAGTTGTGGTTGGAAAGAATGTGAAATATTCACAGCTCACTTCCTAGACTCAGCTGGGCTGGCATTGGCTCCTGCTAGAATTCCACCATCTGTTGAAGCAACAGGAGGGTCTGACCCTCTGCTTGTAAAATACAGCCATTGCTGAAATTCCAGAATATGTACATGTGGTGATACTGGGTTCCAAAACATTAGAAATGTTTCTGTTTGGGGGGGGGGGAGAGATAGATAGGAGTTTTTCACTTTCAGGACCAAGGAATAAGTAGTGTATGAGTCTAGGGAGTTTGTTTGGGACTTGGAAGAGCTAGAATTCTGAGGAAGGAAACATATCACTGCAATAAATACGTTTTTGTTTGTTTACAGTTTGTTACTAACCAGGATTCGGATATTCTAGAGTTATTAGCAACTAAAAATTTTTGCTTCTAGTACAAGTGCAAGCTTCCAGCTGTGGGTATCTTCATTAATGCTGCTTTTGGTAATTCTGATTGGCCTGGAGTTCCAGTGTGAAGATGGATTTTTTTTTTTTTTAAGATTTCTTTTAGGTATATGCGTTTGTACTTTCATGTATGTATGTATGTATGTATGTATGACTACCACATGCATGCCTGGTATCCTCAGAGACTAGAAGAGGGTTTCAGGTCCCCTAGAACTTGATTTACAGGGTTTTGTGAGTCATCACCATTGCCTGGGTTCTATGATCCAAACTTGAGTCCGCCACAAGATCAGCAAGCCAGTGCTCATAACTGCTGAGCCATCTCTCCACAACTCCACACAAATACACACTAACCTCAGTGCTGCCATATATGGAGATGAATGGAGCATATCCTTCGCTGTGATTCTGAGGCCCTGTATATTACATAGTTGACCTCTGGTAAAGAGCAGTGTCCTTGCTACCTCACATCAGTCAAAGGCTGTTGGACCGTTAGTTTTTCAGAAGTGTAAGAAAGACAACATAAAGTAACCTTCGAAAATGTTGGCCTCAAGTCTGTCAGCAAGGCAAGGTGAGATGAAATTTCATGAAAGCACAAATATCACTTATTCCTGCAATAGAATTTTCTGACCAGTAGTGTCGTTAGTCTCCCATGTGTGGTATAAAAAATAACAACTCTGCCTGTGGTTCCTTCCAGGCATTGAGCAGACATGAAGTAGCTGACACACTTGAGGTCAGCATTTTCAAAAGCAGGCTTTGCAACATAAAAGAGCCCATCTTCCAAACCAGTGCTTCAGCGACAGAAGTTATCCATTCATATTATTAGCTTAGGAGAGAAAAAATGCCTCATCTTTCTGAAGGGAATCTAGCAAAGCATGATTAAAAAGAGTCACTCATATTATTCCAGCATACCTTGCCAGTCATTAAGTACCATTTTCTACTTCTGATTCCCAAGCAGCCTTTCCTTCTGCCTAACTCCTACTCCACCTAGGGTTTTCCTTTTTTTTTTGTTTTGTTTTGTTTGTTTTGGTATGTGTATGTGTGTGCTGGAGGAGAGAGGTTCAAATCAGGGTCCTTCTCTTTCTATGAAGCCCTGGCTGTCCTGGAACTCTCTATGTAGATCCAGGCTAGCCTCAAACTCACAGAGATCTGCCTGCCTCTCCCTCCAGAGTGCAAGAATTAAACATGTGAGCAACCACACCTGGCGGGTGCTCTTTTCATAATCTGTCATGTTCCTATAACACTTTCTCATTTACAGAGTTTTCACATGCTTGCTTATAGGGTAGGTATTCTCACAGATTTAGAAGGATGGCAACAAGCATTAAGAATGAGAGTCACCAAAACAACAGTGCCATCTTATGACCAAGTTGAACCTTGAAGGCCGGACCCCATATCTGTATATCCCTCCCCACCTCTGACACAAAAAGGCAACCTGGTAGAGATGCTGAAGTGGCTCTGAGATCAGTCTTGAAACCACCTTGCCTCTTTTCCTTCCAGGCTGAGAACATCTCTAAGGACCTCTACATTGAAGTGTATCCAGGGACCTATTCCGTCACTGTGGGCTCAAGCCCCTTAACCAGGAAGACTCATGTGGTCGCCGTTGACTCAGGGCAAAGTGTGGACTTGGTCTTCCCCGTATGAAGTTGACCATCACTGCCATCATTTTACTCTTAAGTAACAAGAAGAATAAAGCTACATTATAATTGCCTTAATAATGAATGATATGTTGATCCTACTTTAATGCTGGCTGTAGAGAGGGCAGCCTTTGTGAACTGGAGTCTGTCTCTTTCAGAGCTCTTTTTAACTTGAGATTATAGAAATCCCCCATCCTGTGTGCCTGAAAACAATAATGGAATGGTGCTGTCTAAACAGCTCTTACTACTGATTTCCCAAGAAAGTGTTAATTATGATAATAATAATGATTATGATAATAAAGGAAGAGATTTGGAAATAAAAGGAATTCATTTTATTGATATTAAAAAGAAAGAAACAGTGTCCCCCATGTACACTGTAGATTTTATGAGAAGACAGCAGTGGGCAAGCCCTGTCCTTTTTGTGAACAGGTGTTCGTCAGGCCTCTGGGAGGGACTTCCAGTGCAGGACCACCAGCTCCTGTGCCGCTCACAACAGGTGTCTTCCAAATGCTGCTTACCTGCAGGAGGTCTCAGGGGAGCAGTGCTGTTAAACACTCACTCACCTACAACCTGTGCTCAGCCTCCTTCTGTTAAGGCTTGATCAACCGCTCTTTTTAACCCCTTTTCAAGTGTTTGCCTCATTAGTCTTAACTTCCTCTAGGAGAAAAATCTTAAATCTAATATGCTGACTATAATTTTAAAGATTGGCTTTTTGTTGTTTTGTTTTCTTTTGGTTTTTCAAGGCAGGGTTTCTCTGTGTAGTTTTGGAGCCTGTCCTGGAACTCGATGTACACAGTCACCTAGGCTGGCCTCACATTTGGAGCAATCCGCCAGCTTCAACTTCCCAAATCTTGGGATTTATAGGTGCAGGAAACATTTTATAGGGATCCTTGCACTTACTCCCAGAAGACTGGGATGAACTTTGTGGGTCCTCTAAGCCTTCTGACATGCAAAACAGGTGGGTATGTGTGGTTTTCTGGAAAGGAGACATAGTTTTACCATCCTCAAACAGAATATGACCCCAGGAAAAACTACTTAAGAAGTTTCTTTGGTTGTCCCAATGCCCTGACATCATTGTCTGTATTCAGCTTCTGGTTGAGTCTGCATGGTTTCACGTTGGTGGCTTTCAGGGCTAGCTCCTGGGTAGTCCCCACAACTGTAATTCACACTCTGTCCTGTTGATTGTCCTTGTCTTTTTTCTTATTGTGGCAACGTCTTGTTCCTAAAACCAAGATCAGTTAGTAGGGCCGGTGCTGGAGACAATGGCAGGTAACAGCTACTCTTTCTTTCTAGCTTTGTATCCTTATAAGGGAATGCATAAGGCAATGTTTGGAGGGCAGAGGATGCACATACTAGAGGATCACAAGTATAGCTGAATACTGACAGTCAAGCTTTGGAACTTGACACACTGATATCAAGTACTGTCTGATGGAGTGCTGGTACTTAGTATTGATTCAATAACAAATCTTATTTAGAAGCCAAGCAGTACATTTCCTTACAAGGATACAAAACTGGAAAGGGAAAAGCTCTGTCACCTGTTGTTGTCTCCAGCCCAAGCTCACACATGGCTTAATGCATATCTCATCTTTGCCACTTGACTATGACAGACAGTATGGCATCTGAATCTATAATCCTAGAACTAGGCTAGTCTAGGTTACATAGCCAGACACTGTCAAAATTTCTAAAATAATAAGAACAGTAGAGGATGGGACTTCTAAGGAATAGATCTACAGAGGAAGAAATATGGGGGGGGGTGCTTTCTCACTCCTCATCTAGAACATTCTCTGTGTAGATTTAGAATTTTCCTGATATTGGTCCATGGGCCAGCTCCAGAAATTTAAATCTTTTCCTGGACTGCAGCAAAACACCTGAGACCAAAAGAGACGTTTCTGTTCTATATAATTAATTATTAGAATTATTTTATTTTCTTAAAAATTCATTTTAAAAGTAGCGACATACACCTTCAATACCAGCACTTGGGAGCCAAAGGCAGGCTGATCTCTTGAGTTTGAGAACAATCTGGTCTACAGAGTGAGTTCCAGGACAGCCAGGGCTACACAGAGAAACCCTGTCTCAAAAAGTAAAAAGGTCCATTTTTATTTATTATCTGTGTATCTGTGTGAATGTGTGTCATGATGTGGGTGCCTATGGGGGCTGGAACAGGGTGTCAGATCCCTGGACCTGGAGTTAGTTAGCAGGTGATTGTGAGCTGCCTGATATGCATGCTGGGCACTGAACTCTGGTTCTCAGAAGAGCCATAAGCACAGGGTTTCTCTGTGTAGCCCTTGCTGTCCTGGAACTCACTCTGTAGACCAGGCTGGCCTTGAACTCAGAGATCCTATTGCCTCTGCCTCCCAAGGGCTGGGATTAAAGGCGGACGCCACCACTCCCTGGTGAGCAATAAGCACTCTTAACCACTGAGCTTTCTCTGCAGCCCCAGAATTTGTTTTGACAGGAAAAACTCTGATTTGCATATATGTTAATACAATGATTGGGAAAGAGGCTGAACTTGGGTCGAAGCAGTTTTAGGCAGGAGGAGGCATAGGATGGGTGAGAGTCTGTTTACCCTTGACTGGTTTTTGTCCACTCTAGAGACTTCAAATCGCAGCAATGGAAACCAACACAGAAACCTGGGCCTGTCTGTCTGATCACCATGGCCCCTCTGGTTAACCCCTGTTGTTCTTCCTCCCTTTCTTCAGGCTATGCCAGGCAGGAGATAGTGGAAGCCAAGAGTCAGCATGAATATTAGATTTGGGGATCATTCTCTTTATACTGTCACTTGTTGGGAGGAAGATTTCCAAGCAGTTGCTGCCAAGACTTGCCATTGTGTAACCTGGAGAACCATTTTATTTAGCAGGAGTTCCAAACCTTTCCTCTCAGTTGACCAGAGATGGATTTTTGTCTTTCTAATTATTTCCCTGCCAGGGGTAAAGGAAATATCTCCAAGCTTGGATGCCAGAGAAATTCCTGAAACCCTCTTGTAAAATACAACTGCAGAAAGCTAGAGAGATGATTCAAAGGTTAAGAGCACTGACTGCGCTTCCAGAGGACCCAAGTTTATTCCCAGCACCCACATGGTGGATTATAACAGTCTGTAACTATACTCCCCGACTTACTGAGGGGCTCATGTGGACACTACAGCCTAATCTCTAACATTTAAGGTCCAGTCTCTCTCTATACTTGCTCAGATCTTGACTCTCATCAACACCTGGAGGCAGGGTCCTGTTAGCAGATGAGTGGAGACAGAAAAAGAAAGATATGGCTAGGGATGTTGGTAGAGTACACTTGCCTGGCTTGCATGATGCCTTGGGTTGTAGCCAGCACCACATAAACCTGGCATGGTAGTACATGCCTGTAATCCCAGCTCTGAGGAGGTAGAGGTGGGAGGATGAGGAGTTCAAGGTCATCTTTGGCTACCTGTCTCAAAAGGGTGTTAAATATAGGCACCAATCAGAGCACAAAGATCAAGCCATCCGGCCTCTCCTGTTCACATGGGAGCTACCACTTCCCTCATCTGCCAGTCTCCCCCACAGCCTGCATTCCATACGTTACTTTCAAGCCCACCAGAGTGTGCCAGATTCCCAGGAGACCCATGCAGCCCCTAGGCCCTGCCTGGGAAGCTAGGGCCATACCCTTGGTATAACATACCTTGTTTTCCAGGGGGTGGTTCAGGCCCATTTCGCCTCCAGTACCTCCACTCAGGCCGACAGGGGCCGTACTGCTGCAAAGGCTTCTCAGAAACGGTGGGGTCGGTGTTGACTGCCCTGCTTACCATCTGCCTCTGGGGAAGTTCCATCTCCAGATGACTCTCTGAATTCTCTTCCTCAGAGGAGTAGGACATATTGTAGCTAAATGCTGCTCTTGCCTCCTCTTTAGGACCTTGTAGGGGCAGAAGCTGAGCTGTGGGCTTCGGCTCTGGCTCTGGGAGTTTTCTGGTTGTAACCTCTGAGGTCCTAGTTAGAGACCACCAGGTAGGCCCCACCAAAGGGCAGCCACAGAAACAGCTCTGATCCGGAAACTGGCAGTGGGCACAAGAGAGGCCTGGAGGGCATAAGAAGGAAGAGTCCAGAGAGGGTCTGTGTCTGACGCATCCAGTCTTAGGTCCCAGAGGAGAGCAGTGAGGTACCCAAATAAAAGGACTGTGGTAGTCCCTGATGTGAGGTGTTTGTAGTCTCCCCACAGCCTTCTTCCAGACAGTGAGGGACACTAACCTGACCCTGTCTAGAGGAACCTTAGTCGTCTTGCCATTCCAGAAGTGAACAGTGACTTCTTCTTTAGATGCTATGATCAGAAATGGGAGACATTTTTAATAATCCCTGGTTCTTTGGAATAAAGGTTTCCCTATCCCCCAAGCCAAAAGCCTTAGCCCCATCCCTCTGCTCTTCCGGGCTCTTCATGTGCCACTGTGCCTAGAGAGCCTGTTGGAATGTCCCCCTCCCCCATACCACACCAACCACCGGTTCTGGAGGATTTACTGGCACCTCCCTGCCTCCTAGACTAAAGATGACCTGGAGGGACCTGGTTTTCATGCAGAAAAAAAAAAATGCAGCTTCAGCATAGGCTTTTTAATCATTCTCTAAGCACAGTTGTGCTGATAGGCTGGCACAAGAAGATTGTCAGTCTCTGGAGGACTTGGTGAGTGATGGGAGGTGAGTCCCCTGTGACTTGAATACTTTCCCCTCAACCACCACACATAATGTTTCTGTTGGGTTTGTTGGTTTGAATATTTGAGATAGGTCTCATTATGTAGCCCATGCTGCCTTCGGATTCATGATCCCCCTGTTCCAGCCCACTGAGTGCTGGAATTACAGACACATGACACACATCCAGCTCATGTGATGGTTTAGGGAATCAACATAGACATGGTAGTTCTAACTTGTTTCTCTCTCTCTCTCTCTTTTTTTTTTTTTTTTTTTTTTTTTTGGTTTTTTGAGACAGGGTTTCTCTGTGTAGCTTTGGAGCCTATCCTGACACTCGCAATGGAGACCAGGCTGACCTTGAACTCACAGTGATCCACCTGCCTCTGCCTCCCAAGTGCTGGGATTAAAGGCATGTGCCACCAATGCCCAACTTAGGTTGTTTCTCTTGATTTTATTTTATGCTTTCTGACTTTTTGTTGTTGTTTTGCTTTGTTTTCTAAGTATTTTTATTAATTTTTATTCTGTGTGTATAAGTGATTTGCCTAGATATATGAATGGGTGCCACATTTCTAACATGGTGCCCAGGGAGGCCAAGAGAAGGTATCGGGTGCCCTGGGATTGGAGTTACAGAAGAATGTGAGCTCCATGTAGGTGCTGGGAAATGACTCTGGGTCCTTTGCCAGGATAACAGGTGCTGTTAACTACTGAGCCATCTTCCAGCCCCCACTTTTTGGTTTTTTGAGACATTCTTACTATGTAGCCTAGTCTGCCTTCAAACTTACAGCAATCCTCCTGGCTCAGCTTCCTAAGTGCTAGCATTATAGACACAAGCCACGCTGCCAGCTTCTGTCCTCCATGATCTAAACATAACATATCCTGGAAGATAGGACTACAGATCTGCTGCCACTGCGGGGTAAGGTGTAAGGGTCCTGTTAGCTGTGGCTCTAAGACAGCTGAGCCATGACCACCAGATGTGCTCCTTTGGGGGATGGAGGGTCACAGTAGCTTCCTTACCTCTTTGGCCTTTTTGTCTCTTCAAGCCCGAGAGAACAATGCCAGGCCCAAACTGTTGTTGCTCTGATTCCCAAGGTGCCAGCACCTTGTCACCGGGTTGCAGTGAGTGTGGCACAGATGGTGAGAACTGAATGACATCTTCTGGAAATACCACTCTCCGTTGCTGGGCTGGCAGCTTTAGGCCTGTGACAAGGGGAGCCTCAAATTCCACAACCAGGGCCCCCCGCCTCTCCAGCTGTGGGAAAGAAAATAGAGTAAGATTTGACATTAGGGGCTAGGGAGATGGTTCAGTAGTCAAGAGCCCCGGCTGCCCTTGCAGAGGACCATGGTTTGGCTCCCAGTACTCACATGGAGGCTCACAACTATCTATAATTCCAATTCCCGTGGATCTGACACCTTCTTCTGGCCTCTGTAGCCACCAGGCTTACATATATGATGCACATACATATATGCAGTCTGTCTTAGTTACTGTCCTAATGCTTTGATAAAACACCATGACCAAGGCAACTTAGAAAAGGAAGTGTTTACTGGGCTTACAGTTTTAGAGGGTTAGGGTCCACCATGGCCATCATGGTGGGGAACACAGCAGCAAGCACGCAGGGATGGTGTTGGAGCAGAAACTGAGAGCTTGCATCTCAGTCCACAAGTACAAGGCAGAGGGAGCTAAGGATGGTACATGCTTTTGAACCCTCAAGCTCACCCCAGTGACACACCTCCTCCAACAAGGCCACACCTTCTAATCCTTCCCAAACAGTTCCACCAACAAGGGACCAATTCAAATATATGAGCCTTAGGGGGACAGTCTCATCCAAACCACCAGATAAATAAAGCACTCATACACATAAATCTTAAAAAAAAAAAAAAGATTTGAAATAAAACGAGAACAGAGAGTGGCGATGCATACCCATAGTTTCAGCACAAGAGGCTGAGGCAGGAGAATTGCTCTTGAGTTTCAGGTTAGCCTGGGCTTTACACTGAGTTCCAGGCCATGCTGAGGTACATATCAAGTGCCAGAGCAGCTGAGGCTACAGACTGAAACCCTATCCTGAAAAAAAAAAAAACAGAAAGATGGCAGAAAGGGGCAAGCAAGATGATTCAGTGGGGAAAGGAGCTTGCAGCTGAACCCGACTATCTGAGTGGATTCCCAGGACCCACATGACAAAAGGAGAAAACTGACTCTCCCAGTTGTCCTATGCCATGGAATATGCACACACACACACACACACAGAGAGAGAGAAAGAGAAAGAGAGAGAGAGAGAGAGAGAGAGAGAGAGAGAGAGAGAGAGAACCACATTCACAAAGTCCGACTCTAAGAAGAAAAGTACTGGAGCTGGGGATAGAGCTAGTTGATAGAGTGCATACTGGGTATGTAGAAGACCTGGGCTCAATCTCAGCACTGCACAAGCCAAGCGTGTTAGTGCAATACATAACCATAGTGCCTGAGAGGCAGAGGCAAGAGGATCGGAAGTTCAAAGTTCAAGGCATCCTGGGATCCATGAGGTCCTATGTCAAAAATTAAAACTTGGGACCCAAGAGATGGCTTAATGATTAAGACCAGTTACTATTCTTGGAGAGCCCCCAAGTTTGGTTTCCAGCTCACACAGTGCAACTCACAACTGTTTGTTGTTGTTGTTGTTTTGTAATTCCAGTTCTGGGGGGAATCCAATGCCCTCTTCTGGCCTCTGTTGGCATTACATGCACACTCACACAGACTAACACACACATAAAATTAAAATAAAACCAATTTTAAAAATAGAAGTCCAAGCTGGGTGATGGTGGTGCATGCCTTTAATCCCAGCACTAGGGAGGCAGATGGATCTCTGTGAGTTCAAGGCCAGCCTGGTCTGCAAAGCAAGTTCCAGGACACAAAAAGAAGTCCAAGCCAGGTAGCTTTGGGGGATTCACTTTTCAGCATTTCATAATTTGTCCTTCTGTTAATTGTGATAAGCAATTCATGTGCTACATTCTGGCAATTAAAAATGCATATACCTTTAATTCCAGCACCTGGGAGGAAGAGGCAAGTGGATCTCTGTGAGTTTGAGGCCAGCCTGGCCT